ATAACCTGATCTATAAACTTTTTTTTTTCAATCAAGATTAATTTCAGCAAACATGGAAGAAAACGACTTAAAAGGGGAATCAAGCAATCACCAAAAGCAAAAGAAAATGAGAAAGAACAGAATACAATAGGAAGGCAACGCAAAAGAAAAAGAAAAAGAAAATTAAGAATGATGCACACCTGCAGAAAATAGAAAAAATCAAGACTTTATTTCTTGAAGTCTAAGTACAACTTTCTTATTTGCCTTTCTCACTCTTGATCTCTCAATACTCATTCTAGGCTTCACCAATTTTCTTCCCCTCTTTCCGGATTTGTTTCCCCAATTTTCCAATCTTCCATTCCAATCCTCCTTCTTTAGAAGCCGAAACCCCCCCCCCCTTTTTATAGACAAAAGGAAAACCCAATCCTAATATGCCTCTAACATCCAATCCAAATCCCTAAGATAACCATCCAATCCTATTTGGAATGAGATTTCTTAATTCTTCTCACCTTTACCCCCTTTTAAGTCTAAATTCATACCTTATGTATTAGGACTCTTTCCTTGAATCAATTTCGGACTCCTTGGAGTTGATGACTTATGGCTAGTACATCTTTATCCAAATCCTTCACTTGGCTAAGCTTATCCTCAAAGAAAAGCTTATATTCAAAGAAATCTTCTTGGCATTAGAGTTGATGAGAGAGGAGGTGCGATAAAGAGAAAAAAAAAAAACAAGGAAGGCTAGGGTTCAACTAACCCAGCCTTTCATTTTTTTAGCCCATTGGCAAAATGACGTCGTTTTACCATTTCCTCTTTTTAACTCCTTCCAGTTTCCAACTTTACAAAAACAGTCATTGACTTTTAATTTTATCATTTAACCCCTCAATAAAAGTTATGACACTCGTTGAGATCGATATTCCTAACTTAAGAATTGCTCATTTTGCTAGTGAGAAAAACAACAATGCTTAACTTCGTAACAACCTTAATATCATAAAGGAAGCATGAGAGATAATAAGATATTAGAAGAATGACCCAACACTTGGAGGGAAAACCACTCGATATTTAGTCTCCAGCCATAAAAGCTCAATGTCCTAAAGAAAGGGGTGTTTTTGCTTATTCCATCTTCATTCACCTTGACCTCCATGTCATCTGAGAATCTGACCTCGGTTATATCCAAGTTAGGGTACATTGCCTTGAGCTTCATCTTGCAATCATCATACACCAAAATCATGGTCAGCAAGCAGTGAATGTTTAAGAACTATCTAAGGTAAGCATATGGATGAAGTTATTGATGTTGCTTTTGGCAACATTGTGCATAAATAGTTCATGCCTTTCTTCCATCCCTTTCATCCTTTCTTGGAGGTTAGAAACCTCATTTTTCCTAGCCTCGGCTTTAACCTTTAATCGGGTGGCTTTCTATTCTACCTTTTTTCTCTTTTTTTCAGCTCTTTTAGCTAGGGCTTTTAGCTATTCATTCTCCTAAACAAGCTTTGCCTGTTCCTTTTCCAACTTCTTTTTTCTTCAAGCCTAACCTATAGTTTAGTATTTTCCCTATCTATGGGTTGGGCCTTCCTTATTATCCTAGCAAAATCATAATTAGAGCATTGGCTAGATTGGCTGTCTACCAAATTTAAAAAGAATATTAGTGCAACATTATAATAGAATAACAATGCAACATACTTCCATTTAACGTACCTTCAAAGCCTAACATATGACTTGGTTCCTACCAAGCATTTGAATAGTTTGCTTTGCCCTATCTAAACCTCTTAGAGGGAATACGTTCCTAATAAAATAATGTCCAAAGAGATAAACCCTATCATCTAGAAAGGTGAAGTCGTCTTCAAACGCTACCATGAGAATGACAAATGGTTGTTTGACATTGCCTGCGTGAGAGGAGGGTTGGACATCTTCAGGGCTTACTAGTTGTTTAACCTAATTTTCTAGTCTAACCCTTTTCCTATTAGAGCTAGTAAAGTTAACATCACTTCGTTTATTTGTTAGGATGTTACCTCATTAAGAAAAGCTATTGTGGAGTCTAAGTCCACAACTTCTAAGTTTATAAACATGGGAGGGATTGCTTAAACAAATGGGGTAATGCTAGTGGTTGCCTCCTTAATAGTTGATGGTTGAGCAGCTTGGGTAATCTTTTTCTTCCTTGGAAGAGTCAAACCAGCATCAACCTTTAAAAGCTCATCCATCTTCCTTTTTATTTTTGCAAGAATAACAAAAGTAAGACATAAGTAAGAACAAAATATAACATCTTTAAGTTGGCAATTTTAAAGACTTAAGAGTCATAGGTTGTTCACTAGTGTCAAGAGCCAAATCAGTAGCCACCGATATGGGCTAGCTCATTAAGGTCATGATATCCATGACTTGATTCAAATTCGAAGGAATGACTAGATGATTATGTTCTTATTATTCGTCTGCTGTTAAATCAAATTAGTTTGGCTCCTCAGATTTATCGTTCCATTGGCTTATAGCCTCAAACTCTTCATGTTTTCAGCTAGGTGGTGTCATCCATGAAGAAGTACATAGTCTTTCAAAACTTAATAGATGTAAGAAGACTATCAAACAGCATCTTCCCATCCCTAGGGAAAACATAATATTGCCTTTTATCCCCTTCTCACCTTACTTAAGATCAAACAGCTTTTACAAAGCATAGTGGTAGGGCCAACACCCATTGCTCAACAATATACCACAAAACCTAGGATTGACTGAACAACATTTGGTGTAAACTATGTAAAGCTAATGTTATAACTCTCTAACAACTTCACAAACAATTCTAGTAAAGGGAACCTTAAGCCAACCCTAAGACAGTGAGCATATGAGGGAAAAAAATATATCTTTAGGAGCTAAACAAGCCCTTTCTGCACTACTAAGTGGCCAAAGAACCACCATTTATGGGATGCTATATGTTTCTATCAAACGAGTTATGTCGTCTCTGATCATAACTGATGAAAATTTGCAAACCCTATGAAGAAGATTGCCTGAACTAACGAAGTATGGTTCCTTTTGATCATCCATCTCAAGAATATTCACTAGGTATTTTGGAGGGCCAACCATGGGTTCAGCTTCACTATCGATTGGTATATTGATGTTTTGATCACTTAATGGACTCTCGACTTCCGTTTCCTTAGTTTCATAGGACTTGCTGTAAAGGGAATGGTCATGAGAGTAGTTCAGATTTAATTCTTCCTCAATTAATTGACGATAAGCACTTTAAAGAGGAACAGGCATAAGAATTAAAGGCTTGAACCCAAATTCTGAAAAACTAATAGATAACCTATTTACTATAACTTGAGAAAAAAGAGAAGAAATGTACTTGAAAAATCTAAGTGTTAGTTAGAATAACAAAAGAACAAATGTTTATAATTCTATTTGGACTCATTTGGTTCGTTAGCAACACATCATTATCAAAGGCAAAAGTATCTAAATAGTGGGGTCTTAAGGCTTATATGGTAGGACTTAATGGTCTTTAATAGCCAAGACGACTTCAGTGTAATAGTCACCAATGCATGGCCAAATAAGGCATGACACGTCTCTATCAATTAGACAAGCCACAGCCTTACACCTTTAAGTCATCAAAGCTAACTTGTGTTCAAATTGTTGGCTCAAAGGGGACTAAGTTGTTAGGACATATTAATTACATGTCTTGTCAAATTAAAGCATAAAATCTCAAGGCACACCTTTTGAACAATAATTCTTAAGAGAGTAAGTCATTCAAATCAACAAATGAACAATGAAAATATTTATTTTTATCATTAAAAGCCAACGACTACATGTCGAGTGCTCTTCTATTCGACCATGGGCCTTTAAAAGCTAATGACCATGTGTCAAATGCTTTTCTCTTTGGCGAAAGGCCAATAAAGCCCAATGACCACATGTCAAAAGCTCTTATTTTGCCATAAGCCATTAGGAACTAAATGATCATTAACTGTGTGTTTTTGTTTGGCTACAAATCAGGGCAAACCTAACTGACCATACTTTAAAAAAAAAAATAAAATGAAGCAATGACTAAGTGCCAAGGCACCATTGAGGGAGGATAGTAAAAGGGACCAATCCAAACATGCAAACTTAAGATGAACAACTAACTGGAATAACACCACCTTCCCTTGCCACCCTGATTCTTACTAGGTGACATCATGACTAACATTGTTTTAAGTGTTTTAACACTGGAATTAATGCACCTTTATAGATTTCCATGGAGCTACAATACATTACAGTACTACTAGATTAACAATAGGAAATTTGCCAGGTGGAAAAGTAACTTTAAAAGGTTATAAATACACCCCTAACCACCACATTTCATGTAACTTTTTTTACTCTTGATTTTCATAGTAGAATACTCCATCCCCACTAAAATCCCCTATGTATTGATTTAAGTGTTGGAGTGTTTACCTTGAGATCCAACTTTGGGTCTTGTAAGTATTTTGGTCAGAATCGTTATGAATGTGATAATGTTATCTTGTTTTCCACCTAAGCTTTTTTGTGCAACATGACTGTACAAAATTAGCAACTAAGAGGGGGATAAAAAGATCCCAGAAGGCTATCTTGTTGCTGTGATGCAAAGAATGGTGATGAAGAAAAAAGAGTAAAAGCCAGAAAGAAAGAGAGGATTTGGAAGGTTTTTTTTTTTTTTTTTATCCTTTTTTGTTTGCAGCTGTCCTCCCTAAATGAAAGGGAATTGGTTGGACTGTGTAGTTGGGTCTAATACTAAGGTGTAAGAATCAAATTTGTTTTAGGGTGTTAAAATGGATTTGCCTTGGGCTAGTTCAGCATCCTATTTCTTTTTCTTTTTCACTTTCTTTCTCTATTTTTTCTTTTTTTCTTATTTCTTTTTTTTTTTTTTTTTTTTTTTTGCTCTTTTTCTCTCTTTTTTTTTTCGTTCTTGAACATCTCTCTCTCTTTTTCCCACAAATAAGACCTAAAACATGAAAACAAAGCAAATAAATAATAAAACAAAGTAAGGATCAAAGAAAATATCAAGTAAAAAATTGAGTTATAACATAGGCCAATGGTACTATAATTTCTAAGGTATTTTTTTGAAAAAAGATTGAATTCATAGAAAGAATGGAAGATGAAGAGAAAAGGGAACAAAGGAAAGCAAATCGTTGCCAGTAAAGTGGAGAATATAGGGTAAAGCATAATGAGATCACCTATAATAGCATTCATCCATTGTGAACTTGCTCAACTTCATTAGCATTACACTTATAGGGCAAACATCAATTTCAATCGAATTACAAAAGACTCTTTAATGAAGATTATCTCTAGATCTTAAGATGCAATGAATTTGTTTATTAGTTTGGCTATGCATTTAACGTTTCTTGACTGTGATGAAAATGTCTTTAATTACTCTACACTAGTTTCAAATCATATTTATTTGTGGAATTACTTCTCTAGTTGAGATCCAACCAACTCATTTGGCCAAGTTTTCCCTTAGCTTCCTTTCTTTTTTCTTCCTAGTGAAGATGAATAGCTTGGCCTTGCCCTAAGTTTGGCCAAACAAATGCCGCACTTCAATAGATGGAAAGTGTTTATCTCTTTATGTTTGTCAAGCCACGACTGGCACTATCTTTCTTGAGGCATCCAATGGGCTTGGGTCCATAGGCTCATTGATGACATATATTTAATGATGCAGCTATGTCTTGTAATATTGGATATCGCTAAGCCTTTTACCTAATGCACATTGAAGACACTAATGGATCTTTTCCTCCAAAATGTCTTTTCATTGATTTTTTGCCACAATTGGCGATATTCAAACCATAAGTGACAAGTGATATTTGCACTAGTGTGTTCTAATTATGTCAAAGCTTAGTGTGTCTTAGCCATGTCGAGTATACATGTATTGCTCCTAACAATGTGAAGCACTAAAGGATGCTGATTTCACCTTTCTCCAATGATATGTTCCATGTTGAGCATAAGTTGTGGTTTCAACAACTCTAGTGGTGTACGATATGTTGAGCTTAATTCGTCTTTAGCAATGTAATAGAGATAAAATAACTAACTATAATAAAGACAGAATCATATATCCTAGCATTTAGATTGAGGCAAATCTTGATGATGTGAAGATTATTTGAATTCAAGTTTGCCTTTTGCAAAAATGAATCTCAACAAACTTTAAGTTTTAACTCTAACATACTTAATGTTTTTAATGAAACTTATTTTTTAATGTAAGTTGTTTATGAGTAATTTTGTCTCATACATTTTAAATTTATCAAAATAACTTATTTCTTAAGTATTATTAGAGCTTATAAGCAAGCTACAAAGAAGCTCAAAATTGGAATTTTTCCTTTCTAAAACTTCTCTTTTTTTTTTTTTCTAAAATTTATTTATATACTCTTTAAGTAACAAAAACGCAACTTCTAATGAAATTTTATAAATTTCGAGAAAAAATTATTCATAAAACTAGAACAATAAATTCCATTATGATCTTAGAACTAAATTTTAATATGATTTTTTGGAGAAAATTATTTTAGTTGTCAATCATTTGAATATATATGAAGCTCCTATTGAATAATAAAATTACTTTCTTTTAAATATATTTAATTTATTTTAAAAAAAAAAAAGATAAAAGGGGGGAATGGAAGGATACAACCTCCTTCCATTTCCCTTCCTCATTTGGGAGTTAAAATAAAAAGTAAATAAAAGATTATGCTCTTTTTTAAATTTTTTACTAATTAAATTGAGTAATTTTCACCCATTCCATTCCCTCACCTCCCTCCCCTCCCTCCCCTCAAACCAATTGTTAGATAAATTATGTTACAAAAAAAGGCATGTGTGAGCTGAAATGAAGCCTTTTTCATTCCAATAAGGGTAATGATAGGGGACAATTTTATTTTGACTTTTTTATATAATTTTTATATGTAATATAATCTCATAGGAGTCATAATATGAGACAACTTTCACATGTAATATAATATATATAATTTGATAAGGATAGTGATATGAGAACAATTTTTTTTGAATATTTTTATATAATTTTTGCCTGTAATATAATAAATGAATAAATATATATAGTATTACAAATGTTAAGAAAGCGACAATGTATAATTTAATAATGATACATAAATTTATAACTTTCATATCTAATATAAGTTGTTTAAATATTTTAAATTTATTTTTAGGTTTTTTTAATATATAAATGATAATAAATTTTTTTTATTAACTGAAACAATATAATAAAAATTATATATAATTAATTTTAATTGTTATTTATATATATC